AGTTTAGTATTTATAGACTTCAGAAAATACTGTTGGCGGATCGTTCGACGAGGTTAGTCGGAATCGCCGATTAACTCGGTGATTCGCTCTGTCGTGTAGTGGTCACCGTCTTCCACTAGTTTCATTATCATCGTGCTCTGTATCATTGGGCGACATAGTACTACTTCGCGGAACTATTCGGCAAAACGCCGACTGCTCCTTTTATCGCCTTTTTGATCCTGCTCCTTCAGGGTTTCGTGTACTGTAACAAAAGGCGGAGTGCGTCCCTTCGGTAAATCGCCAAGCATGCTTGGCGATGCTCAGGCTTCAGCTTTTTCAATCTTTTCAGCCTTTTTGTTCCTTTTTGCGCCTAAGTGTCCATGCTTCCACTAAAACTTCAAATACCTGAAACTTTAGTATTTTCATCAGATATTTAGAATAAATAAGCATTTGAGGACACTATTCTACTAAAATAAAGCCCTAATGAGTCCAATTTGTGGACACATCATTGATCGGTCATTAAAATAATTAAACAAGAAGGTAAGCATAAATCATAAGAAAACTCATCTCATGCTAAAAACAAATATTGTTACACCATTAATCGTAGGTACAACCCTATAATAAGGGAATTTAGCTTCACATAGAATAAAACATCATCCAATAATGTTCAAAGATCATAGAATTGTTTTCCAAAATGAAGGAGTAGAAGAAAAGCCCTAGATAGTGTCAGAAAAATTGCTCAAATCGATGTTCTCCCATTTTTCAAAAACTGAATAATAATAAATTCACACAGCTGGGCTATTTTAATCTGAAATAAAATGCGTGACAAAATTCTGGAGTACTGGTCCGTGTCGCGGACCTGTTCATTCGCTGCACATTGTGAACAACCTGAACCCACTCCGCGATGTGCTGATGCTTATCATGACCAAAGACACTAACCTACGATTCGAGTGTCTACGATTGTCGATAATATAGTAACCCAACCAAGGGTTGGGGTCGTGTCCCAAGGGAGTGGTAGTGAAAATTGTAGTTAGGCTAGAATTTTGTTCTAATTAGTTGTTGCTTGAGAAATTATCAAATAAAAACAAATTAAATTCAAGTGGGTGACACCAAAGTGTCAAATATCAATGGAGGTTTGTCACAAGTATAGCTAAAACAACAAAAATAAAGAGAAAATTCAAGTATGGGGAGAAGTTCTTGGGGTGTGACCGCAATAGAAGTTGAGATAAATCATTGGGTACATGCCGTCGATAGGAAATTTGCAAGATAATAGTGACTAGGCTAAGCTTTAGATGGAAATAAGTTCCCTCTCGGGAAACTTACCCCACTTCAAATGCATTCCTCTCAGACACCCATTGGCCGCATGAAGGCCAACCTATGCCTTACCCTACTCCCTCTCTCGAGCTAAGTGTTAGGATATGGGACTAGGGCTCACCCTCTTGGGCAAAACC